CGCCGGTGCCGGGACCCCCAGGGCCCCCCTGCCCTCACAGCCACTGGGCCAGGGACCTGCTGCGGACACTTTTGCCACCCACCCTGCCTCTCCTGCTTGCCCCCTGGACTACATTTGCCCCTGACGCTGTCCTGAGCCCAGCACTGTGGGGAGCCACGCAGCTGGGCCAGGACCCCCGTGCCCCAGTTCTGAGGGCAGGGGCGGGAGCCTGGATGCCTGGGTTCTCTCCCAGCTATTGGGGGGTGAGGGTGTGCGCTGAGAACCCGGACACCTGGGTTCTCTCCCAGCTCCAGGAGGGGAGTGGGGCAGAGTGGGTCCAAGCTGGGGGTGGAGGCAGGGGGTCGGGGACTTCTGGGTTCTGTCTCCTGCTTTGCCCCTCGCTCTCCATGCACCCCGGGCTGCGGCCCCTCCTGGGGGGCCCACCTCAAAGCCCCCCCTGACCTGGCCTTCCCTGTGCAGACATTGTGATGATGGAGGAGGCACTAAGTGCGACGCCGCCAGCCCCCCTGATGCCCAGCACAGCACCTGCCACGGACCGTGAGCAGTACCGGCCTGTGGGGCTCACCAAGGAGGTGCTGTCTGTGCACACGCAGAAGGAGGAGCAGGCCTTCCTCACCCGCTTCCACAGCCTCAGCCAACTCCGTGTCTTCGACACCCCGTCGGGGCCGGGCCGGCCCGAGACACCTGGTGCCCATACAGGTGGGTGAGAGTGGGCCCAGGAGGTGCTGGGGCATGGAGAGGGGCTGTGGGAGTTGAATGAAGTCAGGGGGCAGTGCTGGAGCCCAGAAAAGGTGTGGGACCATCCCTCTCCCCCACCGGGCTGTCAGCTAACCTGTGCCCCTCCCCACCACAGGTTCCCAAGGCCCTCGGCAGCCCCCCCGTGGACCAGGCCGGCGCGGGCGCAGTGGCAAGTCTAAGGCCAAGCGCGCAAAGCAGAACCAGTTGTCAGACAGTACCAGCTCGCCACTGACTACCGCCACCACGCCTGCCCCAGGCGCTCCCCCCGCACCTCCCTCCTGGCCACCCTCAGCCGCCTTGCAGGCCAGCCTGCCCCCCCTGCCCTTCCCCATGGTGCCCACCTACCCAATGCCCGTCTTCCCCACACGGCCCCCCGTGCCCGAGGTGCCTGCTGCCGCCACTGCACCGCGCTACCCACTGCCTGCACCGCCTTTCCCCACGCCTCTAGTGGCACCCATGCTGGCACTGGTGCTGCCCAACTACGTGTTCCCGCCTGGCTCCAGCGCCCTGCCCCCTGCCTACTTCCCTGGTGCTGCAGCCTACAGCCCTGCCGGCACCCCTGGCTTCAGTTTTGGGGGCCCGGCAGCAGCAGCAACCCCGGTGGCATCCCCGGGTGGGCCGCCAGCAGCAGAGGCGTCGCGCTCCACCACGCCACACTCGCTGAGCCAGGCTGAGCGGGCGGAGGCCGAGTCGCCGCTGTTCAACTCGCGCTGTAGCTCCCCACTGCAGCTCAACCTGCTGCAGATGGAGGAGGCACCTAAGGCCTGCGAGCGCCCTGACCCACCTGGTACCACTCCGGGACCTGGCACGCCTGCCACCGCCCCCCCTGGCACCCCCTTGCCCAGAGAGCATGGTGACCCCAAGGAGGCTTGCATGGTGAGTGCTGTCTGGACGCTGGGGATCTCTCCCGGTGCCGGTAGAGGGGTGGCTGGGTGCCCGGATGCCTGGGTTCTCCCCTGAGTCTGGAGAGGTGGGGGCAGGGCAGTGGCTCTCCCAGGCAGGCCGCTCCATGCTCAGACTGATCCCCTCTCCCCCTGGCTGCAGGCCGAGGCCCAGGACTCGTCCAACAACGACGCACTGTCAAGCTCCAGTGACTTGCTGGACCTGCTGTTGCAGGAGGACTCTCGCTCGGGCACTGGCTCAGCTGCCTCCGGCTCCGGTTCCTCAGGCTCCGGCTCCAACGGCTGCAGCATGTCAGCCAGTGGCACTTCTGCCAGCGGCACTAGTGAGTCGGGGTGGGCATGGGCAGGGGCTTGGGCTGAGGCTGGATGCCTAGGTTCCTCCCCTGGCTGGGGGTCAGGATGCCTGGGTTCTTTCCCCGGCCAGGGCTTGGGACGCCTGGGTCCCCCGTGGGTGGGCAGGAGAGGCTGGGTCTGGGTAGCCAGGACATCTACGGCTCCTTGGCTCATGGGGCATAGGCCAGGCCGGATGTGGGGCCTTGGGGCTGGGAGGGACCCTTGACTGGTGCCGGCTCCAGTGCTCACCCCTGTATCCCCCTCCACAGCCAGCAGCAAGAGCAGCCACACCAGCAAGTATTTTGGCAGTGTGGACTCCTCGGAGACCGACTTGGCCAAGCAGCCGCCGGGAGTGGGGGCTGGGGCCAATGTGCACCTCATGAAGTACGTGCTGCAAGACCCCATCTGGCTGCTTATGGCCAACACGGATGACAAAGTCATGATGACCTACCAGCTGCCTGGCCGGTGGGTGCCTGTGGACGTGGGGCACATGGAGGGCACCAGGGCTTGGGGGCACGTCTGTCTCGGGTAGAGCCAGGGGGCCTCTTTGCCTTGGGGCAGGGTGATCCATCCCGGGCACGGGTGAGGCAGGGATCCGTCCATCCTGGGCCAGGAGTGTCCATTGTGGTGGCACCAGGTGACGCGTGGGGCCCACAGGGACCTGGAGGCCGTGCTGCAGCAGGACCGGGAGAAGCTGAAGCAGATGCAGAAGCAGCAGCCACGCTTCACAGAGGAGCAGCGCAAGGAGCTGGCTGAGGTGCACACCTGGGTGGCCAAGGGGTTGCTGCCACGCGCCATCAACGTCTCGGTGAGCACCACCAGGCTGGAGGGACCCCAGGCATCCAGACCCCCTGTCTCCCCCACCCTCCCAGAGCTGGAGAGAACCCAGGTGTCTGGGTTCCCAGCTCCTGGAGCTCCAAACCCCCAAGATATACTACCGCCCTCCCAGAGTGGGGAAGAGAAACCAGGCGTCCGGGATCTAATCCCCCAGCCCCCATACTTCATTGCCCTCCTACAAAACCCAGGCATATGGGCTCCCCACTCTCCCCCGACAGGTGCCACTCTCCCTCCACAGCAGGGGGAGAACTCTGGCATCCAGGCCCCCCTGATGCTCTGTTTGCACCCCCCTCACAGGCCTGCATTGACTGTGGCAGCAGTGCACCTGCCAAGGACCCACCACCATATGATGCCGAGATCCGTGACCTGGAGCTGAGTGGGCTGCTGGAGCCCATGGACGAGGGCGCTGCGCCCCCTGACACTGCCATGGAGGAGGAGGAGGCGGGCACTGGTGCTGGCCCCCCTGCCATGGCCTCCACGAACGCTGGGTGAGTCCACATGGGCCATGGACATGCTACATTGACACGCGCATGGGTGCCAGGTGAGCCCACATGGGCAACGGACATGCTACATGGACATGTGCACGGGTGCCGGGTGAGCCTGCGTGGGCCATGGACATGCTAAATGGACATGCACATGAGCATTGGGTGAGCCCACGGACATGCCCACAGGCACCAGTCCTCCCCTGTGGCCTCCATGAATGCTGGTGAGCCTGCACCACCCACGGATATGATGCACGGACACGCACACAGGTGCTGGGTGAGCCCACATGGACCACAGGTGCACTACGGAGGCACTGGACCACGGATGTGCCCATGGGTGCCAACCCCTCGGTGGCCGGCCGAATCCCCAAAGACTAGAGTCACATGCATGGGCACAGGCCATTCGTGCCCGGACAGGTGGAGCACGGGCACGTGGACTCAGCTGTGTCCCCTCGGTATTTATTTTGGATGCTGTTTTGTACAAAGCTGCAGCCCGGCCTGGAGACAGGCAATAAAGTTTCGCTGCCCTGGGCCGGCACTGCCAACCCCTGCCTCTGCTATGCAGCGGTGAGAACGCTTGGCTTCCCTGGGGAGGGTTGGTGCTGCTGGGGCTGGGCACAGCCCACGAGCTCTGTGCCTGTGCAAGGTGGCTCTGGAGATTGACGGCATCCCTGGGTGGGCCACAGACCCCAGAGCAGGGACGTGGTGCCCTGGATGCGAGTCTTCAGCTCAGCCCCTGGGCACCAACCCCCCAACCGGAGCCCTGGCCTGTGCCCCCATCTAAGAGACACCCACCGGTGTGTGGTTGTGGGCACCCTCCTGCACACAGATGTAGTTACGTTGTGTGGGTGTGGAGGTAGATACACACACGAGCACTTACATACACAGATATAGTAGATCCACACACACACTGCAGTCCCACTACTCCATGCTGTGCGGCTGCACCCAGAGCCACCATGTGGGGGCCCGCTCATCGCCCTCCAAGTCATGGCCGACACTGTCCTCATCACTGTCACTGTTCCCACTGCTGCTGCTGTCCTGCCGTTAATGCTACCCCAATGCCTGTAGCCAGGCCCAACCCCGGTGGGACGTGTCAACTGCTGGCCCCAGATGTGCAGGGCAGCCACCAGCAGTGTGTGAGCACACATGCACAGATCTGTGCCTTGACACGCTGCGCATGGGGAGGTCGCAGGTTTGTGCCTGGGTCCCGGCAGCAGCACACAGGCACAGACATGCACAGACACATGCACATGCGTACACACAACAGACAGGAACATGCACCGACGTGAGCCAACACACACCCGAACATGCAGGCATGTGTGCACAGGCAGACATGGGCGCATGCACAATGACCTGATACAAGACATGTGACCACATGCACATGCCACTGGCAAGGCTGCTCCAGCCCCACAATGCCCCTCCCAAGCCTCCACCTGCAGAAGAGGAGCTCGCCCCAGCCCCCAGCAGCCGTGTCTGGCCTGGGTCCCTGCCTCAGTTTCCCTCTCTCTAGAGGGCTGCAGGGGTATGGCCGTGGTGACTCAGGTTCTCCAGTGGTGCATCGCTTGAGCAGGAGGGTAGGGTCAGAACCTGGTACACACAAACATACATCCACATACATATGTGTATGTATATGAACATGTACACATGGATACATGTGTATTCATATGTGTGCACAACTGCATACACATATATACCCACATATATATACACCCACATACACAGACTATTACATACATGTATGTGTGTGTGTGGAGATATATGCGTGTGGGTGTACATACACCCCCCCCATGTTTTGTGTGTAAATGTTTGTGCTATATATATATATACATGCATATCACATGTGTATACACACCCGTATAAGTATTAACTATATACGGGTGTGTATACAGTTGTGTATGTGTATTTTATATATATAGAGACGGCCTTACTGTATTTCCTGGTGTAGCACGCACCCCGTTACCATATTTTCTAGTGTACCACACAACCATTACTGTATTTCCTAGCATACCACACAGTTACTGTATTTCCTAATGCACCACACACTTCTCACCTTATTTCCTAGTGCGCCATACACCCATTACCATATTTCCTAGTGCCCCACACTCCTGTTACTGTATTTCCCAGTGTGCCACACACCCGTTACCAGATTCATAGATTGTAGAGTTGGAAGGGATC